ATATACTTCTGTAACCTTGTTGACAAATATCTATTTTTCATTGAGTCACCCGTGTCAACAGTTTAGGGATTTGCATACACAATGTATGCAAACTAGAATGATGGAGTCAACTTACCATGCAGTTTTTCAATTCACTGGAATTGTCTGGACTACTACCTCAACATTTGCAGTTAAAAGTAAGATGAGTTGTCACTTGCTGCGTAACATTAATCAACCTCGATTGTGCAATAGAAGAAGACTGGCTGTGAAAAAGCTAATAAATAATGTCATTGAGGCAACAATCATAAAGAGAAAATACAAAGAAGAGGATGTCTTAATTTATTTTTTTAACAAATGACTTGACGTTGGATTCTCTGCGAAACTTAAGAAAATATCCACTTTCACTTCATCTTCAATGAAGTTCGATTTTCTTTTTAATGTACCTTGTAAAATATTAGGCAACTGAGGATACCTCTGATTAAATAAGATTGCTACTTCAACTTGATTTCTACAATTCTCCCCGTAACCGATCATCATTAAAATCTCAATTCGGTGGGCCTTAGTTAAATATTTAACTTTTATTTCTGCAAGAAATTAGTTTTTAATTAATAATTTATTATTTTAATCTAAAATGTCAACATGTCAACTGATTGATAACAATCCGCATTATTTACCGATTTAGTTTAATTAGCAGACTATCTATACAGTTTTTACCTATTGACGACAAAAAGTGTTAACACGGTTACTAAACAAAAATTTTCCCCATAATACAGTGTACTGACACTTAGAGTAGAAGTATATTGTCTGTATTTAGCTAATTTAAAATAATACCATAACATGTGATAAATTATTAATTTCAAAATTTCACCTTGTATTTTAAATGTTAAAATGTATATGTTAAAAGTATTTTAAAAACATAAAAATATACAGGGTGTTTCATTAAAAATAAGGATTATGGACTATGCCAGACGTGCGTGGATCACCCTGTACATTTAAACTTTTGTTTAAAAAGCGCACATTTAAATTTAAAAGTTAACGTGTTCCAGAGTTTTTGATTATTTTTTAAGGACACAAACAATTTTATTCCATAAGTGGTGTCTACACTGTATAATCTTTATTCCTTCAAACATTATGTGTAATTAAATGAAAATTAAGTGAAAATAAAAACCTCAACGATGTCGAGCATTTTTTGTTTATTAATTACGAATGTCTTTTCTTTTTAAATTTATTGTATACAACTTTTTGTATATAAAATCTTTTTTTTTTCTTTTTTTATCTATTAAGACAATGTAAGGTCTGTCGGCTCAGCCAGTAAAAAATTAATGTACAAAAATGACTTTAAAAACAAAAATCATTATAAATTAGAAAATTCTCGAAAAATACTACGGGCAGAAACAAAGGTCGAAGATGATTCCGTAGTATTTAGTTCAAGGTTAGTTTGGGTAGAGGCCTCTGTTTCTAATTTACAAGAACTTGAAGAGTTGTTCGTAAGTGTTGACGTTCCAAGTGACATCGCTTATTCACCAAGCTCATTAGCTATCTTATTCCATGGTTCTGCCTCCTTTACCATATTTTTTATTATTCGTAAAAATTGTCAAACAAATACAAATATTTTCGCAACTTTTTAATAAGTAATTCATTTTTACCACACTGGTCGTGCAATTAATCTGTAATTGTGTACAACTATATCGTCGGGCAAAACGATAAAGCCTGGATCTGTGAGACCGGTGAGACAGATCGTCATTGCTGTAACGGTGATGGTGCAATACTTTGTAATACCATTTTGTAGATCGCCTATTGGCCTCGGTAAGATATCCCTGCCCGCCGCTAAGGATCGTGTCCTGTGTGTTCAAAGGCCCTATTATAAAGGTATGAACAGATTGCTGCGATTCGTGCACGCAACAACGCATTCGTGCGACCATATCTCGCAGCTACAACGTTAGTTTTGCGTTATATTTTGTTAACGCAGCCGGCTGCGTTTTCTCTCGTTATCGTTATGAATGTAGAATGGCTCCAACAGAGAAATTAAGTCTTCTTCTTGACTTAAGAACTCTTAAGAACATGACTATTCTGACTTTATTTACGGCAGATCTGAATAGTTTAGCAGATGACAATCCAAACCATTGCCGCAAGTTTTGGAGCCACGAGTATCTTCTCCTCCCTGGACCCCTTCTGCTGTCTATTTTCCCTTGAACGATCAGCTGTAGTACTCTATATTTATTATGTCTCATAACGTGACCCAAGTATTCCAACTTTATTTTCCTTATACTTATTCCTACCTCTCTCTCTTTACCTATCCGGCGTAGTACCTCTTCGTTGGTCGCGTGCTCAGTCCAGAATATACGTAATATACGTCGGTAAGCCCACATTTCGCAGTCCTCTACTTTTTTCATCAATGTTGCGGTCATTGTCCACGCCACCATTCCATATAACAAAGGTGGTCATACTCAATTGCTAGAATCACAGTGTCATCAGCATACCTTATGTTATTAATTATTTCTCCATTTATCTTTATGCCTTCTGTGCTTTCCTCCAGCGCTGTCTTAAATATTTCTTCTGAGTATATATTAAAGAGAATAGGAGACAAGATACAGCCCTATCGTACCTCTTTCTTGATCTCAATTTTATTGGTCAATGTAGATCCTACTTTCACTTTAGCTGTTTGACTCCAATAGAGACTGGCCATTGTTCGAATGTCTCTGTAGTCGACTCCGATCTAATGGAGAACTTCAATTATCTTTGCGTGCTTTACGTTATCGAATGCTTTTGCGTAATCTATAAAGCATATGTACATGTCTTTGTTCATATCTCTGCAGCGCTGGATGAGTAACTGTAGACTAAAAAGTGCTTCTCTTGTCCCAAGAGAATTCCGAAACCCAAACTGCATTCTGCATATCCTCGCATTTTTTGCTTATTTTCTTGTAAATAACCTTGGTGTATGCCTTCGAAATGTGGTTAATTAGACTTATAATCTGATTTTGATCACAAGACATTGCTTTTGGTCTTTTCGGTATGGCAACAAAAGTTAACTCTAGCCAGTCTTCAGGAAACTCCCCGCTGTTATATATATATATATATATATATATATATATATATATATATATATATATATATATATATATATATATATATATATATATATTGTTAAAGAGTCTAACGAGTGAGTCTAGAAATTGACTGTTTGTTTCGCACAGCATTTTCAATACTTCCCCGTATACGGTATCGTTGCCTGGTCTTTTGTTATTTTTAAGACCCTTTACAGCATTCTTCACTTCTGATTTTAGAATAGAAGGGCCAGTATCATCATTGCTCAGTATATACCCACTAGGACGGTCATCATTAAAGCCATTTAATGCAACATTTATAGAATAATTTAGAGAATTATATATGGTAATACAAGGATTATTAAAGATTATATATAAAAACATCAAAAAGAAGGATAAAGTTTGGAATAAGATTGGCCAAGAGATGAAAAAATCCCGTATTGTGAAAAAAAGTGAAAGAAGAAGTGAAAAAAAGTATTTTAATTTGAAAGTGTTGATACACTTTAATTATTTTTTAAATAATTATTTTTATACATTCACTTTAGTTATTAATATTTTGAGTTTCTATTTACATTTCAAGTATTAAAATAGTTAACAAATTTTCTCTAGTTGAAACTCCTAAATTGTTGCATGCCTTAGATGTATATCTATATTAATAAAAGCTCTGTCTAAGTTTTCTTCAGTTTCTGAAAACTCTAGTCCTTGTTGGTTTATTTTAGTGCGTAAGAAATTATGCAAAATGCAACAATTTTCAACAATTGAAATTGTCGTTTTAAGTTTTATCTTAATTGATCTAAAAAATACTCGCCATTTTTGAGCTCAAACACAAAAGGCATTTTCGACCACACATCTAGCTCGGCATAAACAAGTATAATAATTTTAATTTCGTCTGTCCTTTCTAGATTGTTTGTAGGGAAAAGGTCGTATTAAAAAAGATTTCAAAGTAAAGGCCTTATCTCCTATCAAAACGTGTGGACAAGGTACTACTTGCCCAGGAAGATTTTTACCTTCTGGAACATTCATTAAACCTGTCTCAAATCTCTGGCCCATATTTGAATTTTCAAATAAGCCTCCGTCGGTATTTTTTCCGTAACCTCCTACATCAATTAATACTAATATATAATTGACAATGGCCATCAACAATGGCCATCAGTACTATTGAGAATTTTTTAAAATAAAAATGGTTTGACCCTTCACACACTTTTATTATTTATATTATTTTAGTATTTTAGATTGAGTAAAGCAGAAAGCCAAAAAACAAAATAGCCATATACAAAACCCTTATACAACCAGTGTTGACATATGGATCGGAGACATGGACCATTTCCAAGGCAGATGAAAACCTCCTGCTTATATTTGAACGAAGGATCCTGAGAAGAATATTCGGTGGCATCTGTGAAAATGGTGTTTGTAGAAGGAGGAACAACTATGGGATATATCACAGATATAAATATATATTTGGTGGTAAAGACGTAGTATCTCTTATAAAATTAGGAAGACTAAGATGGGCAGGACATCTGGCAAGATCACAGCGGAACAACCCTCCTAGAAAAATCAGTTATGTCACAACCTGTGGGAAGTAGAAGTAGGGTAGGCCAAAACTCAGATGGAGGGTGTAGATGAGGATGGTAGAAAAATAGGCGCAGCAAACTGGCAACAGTTGGCAATGGATCGAACTGACTAGCGTAATAGACTTGGGAAGGTCGAGGCTCTTTTATGGGGCTGTAGCACCAATGATGATGATGAATATGCGTATATGTAAGTAGTAAATAACACTGTTGATAACTAATCCTTGTCCCAATTACAAGTGTTGTATTAGTTTTAAGGCAGTAAAAAAACACAACAAATGATAAGTTACCGTAGTAATGGAATATGATATAATAACGAATAAGAAATAGGAATTCAAATATTTTACACTCTACTGATTAACAAGGCATAAGTTTAGCACAAAAATTAATTTTAATATAGTACTCCTACCTGTACTTGTTAATAATCCCGTTGATAACCATTTATGCAGCAACTTATATTGCTTTGCTTTGTTTATTAGCTTTGTTGAACTTAATATGTGTTCGATCAATTTAACGTCTTTAATGAAAAGAGCGGTACTTAGAGGTCCATCGTGAATTCTTATTATCGGACCGTACATGTCATGTAATTCCATCATTATATCCATGTATTCTAAAATTATAATAACCAATAATATATTTTAATAATTATTAATTTTTTAGAATTTTGGAAATGCTGTGACAACGTAAAATTGATTTTTAAAAACGGCTAAAAGCACAAACGATCAAATACATAAAAACGTTTTGGAAACAAATACAAATATAATATAAATGACAGCAAATAGTAATACATTTTAGCAGATAACATGCAAAAAACATACACGTATGAAGAGTCTCCAAGTGTTAATAAAACTTATATGTAGAACAGGGTAGTTCACAGTGAGGCGCGTATCTTTTTGCTCGATGGGCGCGATACACAGTCATAGTATAATAAACGACAAGTACACAGTAAGTCATTGTCTCTGACTTTCAAATTTCGTTTAGTGCCACATGCAGCTGTAGTGAATTCGCATTTTCCGGAGTTTTCTAAAAAATATCCAAAAACAATATTTTACGAAGGTAAGTAGTTAGTAGTAATTTTTTAGAAGGTATTGTTAAAGTAGTAATTAACAGCAGGTAGTTTAACTCGACAATTTCAGTTCGAAATATTATTAATATTGTTCTTAGCTCTAACCTCATAAAATTTCAACCGTATAAAATTACTTCTTAGAATATCGCCTTGGGTTAATTTATATCGAGTAAAATAGTACACAGTAAAAAACCATATTGGGTACACAGTGAGACTGTCTCATTCTAAGCAATTACAAACAGACCAGTTTGTAATTGCTATCTTTAATGTTGGTAATAATTTTTATAAGTAAAGCAAAGTTAACAGTTTTTTTTTGATAATGAAGATAATTAATTATGAACGTTACTATAATTTGGTATTCATTTTATATGGTAAGAAAACAGAAAGCACGAAAAATTGCTACCTTTTTAAAAGAATCAATGAGTAGGGCGGTAAATTTAGTTATAAATGAAAACATGTCTTTGCAAAGAGCATCCGAATTATGTGCTGTAAAATTTCAAACGTAAAGATATGTTGCTTAAAAACGCTTGACTGAAGAGAAATCTCCATAACCCGTAATTATGGCTGCAGATTGGTGTTTACCGAGAAACAAGAATAAAATTTTAAAGAGTATTTGAAAACCTGTAACAAAATTATGTATGGGCTAACGACTTTAGACGTAAACTGGCGTATAAAGTTTATGTTGTAAATAAACTGAAAATGCCAGAATCATGTAATTAAAAAAAAATGGCAGATGAAGTTTGGCTACAAGGTTTTATGCAAGTCTGCAAAACTTTAGGCATAAGACAACCAGAGGCTTGTAGCTTATCAAGACTGACATCACAATAGACACAATGTAGTAATTTTCTTCGAAATTGTCCGTAATATATTGAATAAAATTCCTTCACTTTCCCAAGGATCGAGAACTTTTAATTTAGATGAAACCACTGTTCAGAACCCTAAAAAGATTATTGCAATAAAGGGTGTCAAGCAAGTAAACCATTCTGCGAGTGGTGAATGAGGTGAGCTGTGCCACTGTTTCTGCTGCTGGAACTTCCCTGGAACCAGTCCTAGTGTTTCCTAGGAAATTTTTCAAGCCGCATATGTTACAGTGTGATCTTCACGATATATTAGGGTTCGCAGCACAAAGCGGCTGGATGAATTCCGAATTATTTGTTGAGATATTGAAACATTTTATGAAACAAACAAATAGTTTATTAAATAATACTTTTTTATTGATTTATGATAATGCAGAGTGTCACATATCTGCAAAAATAGTTAACAGGGCTAGAGAGGCTGGAGTTTTTATATTAACTATGCCTCCAGATTTCAGCAATAAAATGCAGCTCCTTGATATAAGAGTTTTTGGTCAATTGGTGACAATTGGATGCTAAACAATCCGGGTATTCCTTTAACAATTTACAATATAGACGAGTGTATTTGTCTTGCGTTTTTGGATGAATTTACCCCCAGCAATATAGTAGTTAAAGGATTTAAGAGATCGAAATACATCCGTTTAACCTTGATGTATTTGAAGATGCTAATTTTCTTTCAGCAAGCGAAACTGACAGACTGTTACATACTGATAAAAGCACAGATATATCTATTGCACCAGGTCCAAGTCATGTTAATGCTGCTTTTGTAATAATAAATTCATTAATATATTATATTAAAACATAGTTTATTGATTATATAATGATGTTGAGACATCAAGTCGACAAGCTGAAGTAACTGAAGTTGCTCAAGTAACCCCGCTAAAGGAAGGCATTAAGTTTTTAAGCCCTGAAATTATACAAGGGTTTCCTTAAGCAAGACCAAGGAAGACTGCCAGGGCAAGAAAAAATAAAAAAAGCCCAATGGTAACAGATACCCCTGGGAAATTACTTATTGAAGGGACGTGTACGAACCGATCACTTTAAAGCCCCCAATAAAATTATTAGACCCTCCGAGATATAGTAAACTGATCATCGGCATCTTATGGAGATAGATAAACTCATTACCGAAGATAGGTAAACTTATCACCAGTATTTTTGCCCCAAGGCGCTGATTTCTAATGCGGAAGATTGCCAGTAACCGGTTACACTTCTCATTTATGTGCTAATTTTTTAAACTCCGATAGGTTTTCGATAGTGACTTTATATTGAAAATATTTATGAGCATGTGCTATTTTCCTTTATATCGGAAATATTCCTCAACTTATTAACTAACTACAAACTAATTAGAAATCTATTTATTATGAAAGAATGAATCAAAATGCTTAGATACAGTCTTCTGGTTTTTATAAATGGTTAAAGCCTACTTAAAGAAACATTATCCTGTGAAAACAGAACAGCTACATGTAATATCTGCAGTTTTATGTACACCATTGTTTAATACTGTAGAAGCGTAGATATAAAAGTGAGGATATTGGGATGAGAATGGTAAAAATGGTTAAAAAAGAGAGTGAAAGAGCTCGCATGGATTTGTGGTGAAATGTTTATAGCTAGACTGGGATGCCCAAACAGTTAGAGGTAACAAAAACTCATTACTTATCTTCCATATAATCAGATATTTTTCATAAATGAAGGCAGGTTAGGGATACACGCATGAAATCGTTGACAAAACAATATCCGATTCGTTCTGGGTCCAAAAATTTCCAGCCAAATATGTTTTTGGATTTTGCGAAACCAACTTTGGGTCGAGTGACCAACTTTGGTCGCAAATGGTCAAATGGCAATTAAGAAATCAGCGACAAGTATTAATGGACTTAAAACGACAGCGACTTATTAGGAGCAACGAATTTTAGAGCGTATTGAAATGTATCATTCAAGTAATATGCCTCTGCTTTCGCCAAGTATCATAAATTCTCAAGAATGACAAAAATAATAATATTTTGTTGCGAATCGTTATCCAACACAAAACATTTATCGCGGTCCGTCTTTAGATTCATCTGTTGAATTGCTTGATGCGCTTTCCCATTGTCTTGGTACAGGTGACATAAAAGGAAAACGATTGTTGCTCATATTCCTCCTTCAAATACAAGAGATATCCGTTGTTGCCATGTGTTCTTTGAAATAAGAAGTTGCAATCTTTTGGTGAATGATTTTTGATGGCCTCTCTTGAGCTTTCATCTTGCAGAAGTTGCTGATGACTCGACGGCTTAGTTTTTGAAACTCGCTTACGTGATTGTGACGCAGTGCAGAATATTTTCTCGACAACTCTTCTCATAGTTTACACTTCTCAAATTTGCCCCACCTTCTTTGCCCGAACTTCTTATACAAACGTCACCACCTACAATCCTATACAATAATTGTTTCTTTAAACAACCATTCTCTTTACACTATCGTCAAACCTCCCCCCCCCTCCTCCTAAATTTTCCGACCCTACTGTTAACTTTAGATCCATCCACATCCATCATACCACACTATTTCATTTTCTCCACTATTCACGTCTACATCACATTCCAGTCAATTCTCCCTTCTTTCATTATTTCTTGGTCAATTCATATATTAAACATACACTCATTAGTTTTAAACTTTGTAACCATTTATACGTGATCAGGTTCATAAAATTGAAGAAATTACTTTGCAACCGTAACCTTAATCTAGAGATTCGCACAAGAATGCTACGTTGTTACGTCTTCTCTACTTTACTATATGGCATGGAAGCGTGGACAATAAAGCAGTCTGAAATCAAAAAATTAAACTCCTTTGAGATGTGGTGCTACAGGAGAATGCATAAAATATCGTGGATTGAAAAAGTAACTAATATAGAGGTGTTACAAAGAATGAATAAAGAATGTGAAGTCATAAAAACTGTTAAAATTAGAAAGATTCAATATCTGGGACATTTAATGAGGGGTGAGAAGTACGTATTACTGAGGTTGATTATGCAAGGGAAGATACAAGGGAAGAGAAACCCTGGACGACGCAAAATGTCCTGGCTAAGAAATTTGAGAGAGTGGTTCGGCTGCAGCTCATTAGAATTATTCAGAAATGCGGCCAACAAAGTTAAAATAGCGATGATGATTTCCAACCTCCGCTAGGAGAAGGAACCCGAAGAAGAAGAACCATTTATACATTATCTAACAATTTATCATAATTCATTATTTCCCCCATTACCAAAAAAAAAAGATCCTAATCAACAATTGATCCCCTTCTCTTGTTCAACAACTTAGTAGCACACTCACACATCAAATTTCAGGTTTTATAGAAACCAAATTTAATACAACCAAAATAGATTTTGTTCAGTGTGCTAGATGCTCTTATCATGACCTCTATTATCTCTAACTGTTGATCAACTATTTCTCTCCTTTAACCCTCCCCTTTTTCTTCAGTCATCCCTTTACTTTTATTCGTGTCAAGTCTCTGAGGAGCTCAGTCTTTTAAAATTATAAAATTATAAAATTTTAAATTTAATCCCATAGGATATAACTTTAATTTCTTCAGCCGGAAGATTTCCAACCCTTTTTCAATTTATTAGACTTAGTTTTATATTAGCTTTAAATATATACTATTCAAGTTTACCTTGTCCTAGATATGATAAACATAAAAGGACAATTTCATATATCTAAACTAATCTAACAC